TTTTTTTTTAGATACGACATATCAGTACCATATATTTGTGTGATTTGGCACATTTTTAATCAAAACCAACTCTAAGCTGTTAAAATGGGAGATATGCTTCAAGTATCCCCGTGTCTTCCTCACTTGCTAGACTTTAGGCTAAATAAGATGATCACAGCCACTGCCAGCATCATCCCTACAGCGATTTCCTTCAGCCTGCCCAGTTTCATATCCTCATACAGCTCCTTCTTTTTCCTGATGAGCTCTTCTCTGCGCTGCCGGATCTCCTGCTCTCTCTTAAGTTGTTCTCCATAGTGTGATCTGATGAAGGTATCAAAGTCAAAGATGTTCTGCTGGGAGGCTCCAACAGAGGGAGAGTGTCGGGTTCTGCTCTGCTGTCCTGATGCTGGACTCTCTCTGCCGGCGGGTTCGCTGGTTCCCAGCAGGTCAGCTTGACTCAGGATCCCACGGTCGTATTTCCTCCTCAGAGCTTTATTACCCAGGACGCTGTACGCCTCGCTGATCTGCGAGAAGCTGAACGCGGCCTCCTCGCTCCCTGCGTTCTTGTCCGGGTGATATATGAAGGACTGTTTATAGTAAGCAGTCTTGATTTGTACGTGCGTGGCGGTCGAAGGAACTTCCAAAATATCATAATAAGCAGACTTTGACTTGTATAACGGACTGCCTTTATCATGTGTGCCACTATAAGCTCTGGTTAAAGACATAAACTGCCCTAAATAATCACTTGGAGGTCCATAAAGAGCATGACTGGACGGGAGAGGGAGTTTTCCATAAGTTCTCAAACACGAGTTCCTCCAGGAGGACATGTGAACTGCAGATGCCTTGGACTTCGATCCACGGCAGTCAGTCCATGTACTAACATTTCCAGAACTGAGGTCCAACCGCACTTTCACGCTGTTTGCATCTCCACCAGCACAGGTAAAGAGTGTGTTCACAGCCCCGCTTGGAGACTCCAGAGCTGCCGGTCTTTTAGCTGCTTGGACACGCTCATTTCCAATCTCACAGAGCTGTGGTGAATTTAGTAGAACTGCAACATAAGTTGCCGTTGGAACCAGTTTACAGTCTTTATCCAACTGCGAGAGATTTCGCGGTTTTAAAAGCTTGTAAGCCCCTCTCCCGAGCCGCAGCCTGACCTCCGCCATTGCGCAGGGATCGACTAAAGAAAGCTTCATCTGTTTCCGCGTACCGCAAGTCGACCAATCAGAATTGAGCTTCTTTGCCGGCTGAGTGAACTTTCACCAATGCTGTGCGAGAAGAATATTTCCAGGTAAGAGATTGGTGGGGCGTTCAGGTTGTTGTTTCATCATAATGATTACATAATAGACTGTGCAGAGGGTCATTCCTACTGGAGTTTGAAATGTTTGAACCTATTTTTGGGGGGTTATTTATTTATTTATAAAAAAAACAACCTAGTATAGGTCCAAGTATCAGGACATAAAGTGTATAGTAACCACTGATCTATATACAATGTTCTCTATTATAGATCAGTGATAGTAACTCAGTGGACACACTATCATTATTAGTATTATTATTGCAAATGAATCACTTTTTTGTAGATAATGTAATTATAGACATTTCATTGTATAGAAAATTAGCTGTTCTGTGGACATGAGAAAATGACAGAATGACAAAACAAATCTAAATCATTTAAATTAAGGGCCCTATTAAAATTCTGTTCAGTTAAAAAAATTTACATTATCAATGTTATTACATACACACATAAGCACTTAACTAATTCAAGTAGTGTGCTGCTTGCCAACTAAAACTAGTTCATGACCAGGGGTATGTTTAGAGTTTTGGGGCCCCCCGCAATTGAGTGGTGTCTAATCACCCTACTGTTCATAACTAAATAACATTTATATTGTATGCTATATCATTTCCCCTTCAAAGTCAGTGAATATTTATAGGGGAATTTCTATGATTGTATCTTGTGCATTATATTGGCAGTTATTTATGTATTATAAATATGCAACTAATTTCAACTCTGCCCTAAATAAAAGTGACGCCTGATGAACTGCGTGCGTGTACGTTACACAAGTTACGCACGTTTGTAAATCTGTTCATGTTTACGTCTGTCGCGGAGCACACCGCTGAAAACATTCTAGCAGTACGCTGTCACATACGTAACTTGCGTACGTGCTTTACAGCGCACACGAGCGGTCTCGCATCCACCTGACCAGCCTGCAGACCACACCTCTCGCTCGGGGTGTGCTGTGCTACCCTGCCGTCCTCCTGGACATCACAACAGTCGCTGACAGTCCGCGTGTGGGCCTTAATAGACACTCGTATCAGACCTGCTGTGGGTGTGTGCATGCAGCATAATGGAGCAGGCG